CAATTGGCAACCTAATGTTCTTCCTCATGAAGCAAATACGGAAGTAACTGAAATTGCAATTCATTGAAATTTTGCTCGTCCTGGCTCCATAATAGAGCAAATTTCTATTGAGGCCACTGTTAAAATGGCCAACTTTACAGCAAAAAACGTTTTTACAGCTTTGTACAAAGAACGATTTTGGTTCATATAGCTAATATTATCCTTCATGACAACTCTGAAGAAGGTGAATTTTTTATAAGTCATCCGTTTCCTTTATATTAGGTTTTATTAAGTCTGCATTAATTAAGGGCATGGCCACTTGAGTGCCAGCTAGGTCTTGCTGGTCGCCGTCACTTGACCTCAGCTGATTCCGGCTGATTAGCTGCTAAACTCGGCATATACTGTGTATCATATTTTTGTTTTGTTTTATGTGGTTTTACACCAGGGGTTACCAAACTTGTTCCTAGAGGGCCAGTGTCCTGCAGATATTAGCTCCAACCCTAATCAAACACACCTAATCAAGCTAATTAAGGTCTTACTAGGTATACTTGAAACATCCAGGCAGGTGTGTTGAGGAAAGTTGGAGCTAAACCCTGCAGGGATACCGGCCCTCCAGCAACGAGATTGGTGACCCCTGCTTAACACAGTCAGTTGCTTTTTGGAATTATTTCTTACAATTATCAGATGATATGGCATGCTGTGTGCACTAAATAGTGTTCACAAACCATTGAAGTGGCCTCCATGTTCTAGGTGAGTGAAATTATATACTTGTATACTAGATCTATAAATGAATTTGTTTAATTTGCTTTATTTATATCTTTCTTTAGACCTGCAATCCACTCCAGAATCTGACAGATTGATTAGCTGTAGGCTTAAGAACGGTCATCTAAAAAAAAGTTGTCATACAGTTTTATGCCTGGATTTCATAAATAGCCTTACATTTATGCAACGAGCTTCGCATTTATGAAACCTGTGGGTGACATCACAGATACTACGTCCATATCTTTTACAGGTTTTGATTAATCTTTTGATTATCTTTATATTTTCGAAAGCTTTGTCCACTGAAAATTCCAAAAAGTGACTGATATATATATATATATATATATATATATATGAAATTATACGTGAAATATGCCTTTATCTTAAAACAGACATATCTCAGAGTAAATACAAGTACAGTTACAGTAATCCTATTTACAGTAATCGCCCTACTAAGTAAAAATCTGAATTAAAACACACAACCTGACCAAAGTCGTCGCATATCCAAGTTTTAGAAACAACAAATAATAATTTGACTTCTATTTGATCATTTGGCATCAGAAGTGGCTCATTTGAAAGGCAAAGGCCTCTAGATTACGCTTATTTCACCAAAATAAAATATGATCGTACCTTGATTTTTAACTATTTGATTAGGACAGTAAGGTCTGACTTAGACAATAGTTTTGTCACTTAACAGAAATACAGTATAAAATATAAAGTCATGGTGCAGTGAAAAAAGATTTAATATTGTGCATGACTCTTGGACAACTGCATCCATACATCTCTACAATTACTTAAATAACTTAGATTTTTTGATTAATAAAGTAATCTGGGCTCCCAGAGTTCATCAAGATTCTTTGGATTCATCTTCAATGCCTCCTCCTTCATCTTACCCCTGACATGCTCAACAGTGTTCATTTCTGGTGACTGGGCTGGCCAATCCTGGAGCACCTTGACCTTCTTTGCTTTCAGGAACTTTGATGTGGAGGCTGAAGTATGAGAAGGAGAGCGATATCCTGCTGAAGAATTTGCCCTCTCTTGTGGTTTGTAATGTAATAGGAAGCACAAATGTCTTGATGCCTCAGGCTGTTAATGTTGCCATCCACTCTGCAGATCTCTCGCATGCCCCCATACTGAATGTAAAGCCAAACCATGACTTTTCCTTCACCAAACTTGACTGAATTCTGTGAGAATTTTGGGTCTATGCGGGTTCCAATAGGTCCTCTGCAGTATTGTGATGATTGGTATGTAGTTCAACAGATGATTCATCTGAAAAATCGACCTTATGCCACATTTCCAAATGATCAACTCGATGTCAAGTTATTATTTGTTGCTTATACAACTGGGATTGACGACAAGACTTGTCAGGTAGTGTAGATCAATGTTGTTTTAGTACAAAAATGTACGAAAAAGCAAAAATGAAAATGCACAAATTTTAAAAATGTGTTGATATTGTGCTGCCAAATTCACATGTACAGAATGTAACTTGGAAGAGCTGTATGAAGTTTTGATCACATATGCAAAAAAAATTATTAGATTTGAGCTTTGAATTTGTTAGAATGTAAAAAAAATTTGTAGGCTGAGCTTACGCCAGACCCAACACAATATCACGGCAATTTGTAACTTTTTGATGTAGTGGCTAATTCATACAATCTCATTCTCACAATTTTGTATGATTTGCTCATCCCCCAATGACGGTTGCGGGCAGGGTTGTGTGCAACACCTCCTTTTTAAAATTGTACATGTTGGTATGAATTAGCCACTAAACTGACAAAATGTAAAACAGTTAAATTTCCTCATGAGATCAGGCTGGCCAAAACAGATGTGATACCATCTAATGAAAACTTGCAGCACAATTTTGGATTAACAAAAATTTATCCATTTTAACGTTATTTTGTAAACATATTTTCTGTTAAATGGCAGTTATGAGTATTTATGTCAGAAATAACACTAACATTATCCTTTAGGCTTTAGGTAACAAAATAATTTTTGAGGTTATTGTGTTGAAGAAAAGCAATAGCTTTCTGGCCTTCAAGGCAGATATTTGAGTTACCTGGCAAGATGTGAGAACTGGCTTCTCGCGAGCCTCGTAAAACGTTGTGTTTTAAGTGAACTGTGAAAAAAAAGATCAAAAAGCAGAATTCCTCATTGTTTTATCACTTTGACCTTCCTGCTACAGTTCTGTTCTGCCCACGTTACACAAAAAATGAAGAAAAAAATAACTAAAGTTTATGAAATTTTATTTTGTATTTTTTTTGGGGGTGGGGGGGGGGGGGGGGAGTGGATTTAAGAGAAAACCTGGACATTTGCTGTAGACACTATGACATATTCAAACAAAATGCCTTTGAACAAAGTGGTTTTTTTTTTTTTTGTCCTCTATAAGTGATTTTAAAGTGTTCTCTGGCGCCAGCTGTTTCAAAATCCTGAGCAAACGTCACATTCTTCTACATGTGGTATGTTGAAATTATGTGGCTGTATCGTGTTTGTGTGCTCTGCTGCTTCCAGGTTGGATTGCAGGTTTATGTGCTATGAAAAACACCTGTTTGCTGCAAGCCTGAAGTTTAATTATATGTTTAACAGTGGACGTGCTGATCCGGCCGTCACATCATCGTGATGAATGGATCTCACTGGAGCACATTATACATTCAAACACATATATGAATATGAGGGTACTTCGAGAATCAAATGCAGACTCTTTTAGCTTTAGCTGTAGGTATTTGCTGTATAAGTTCTGAAGGACATGGCTGAAATTATATTTGACATAGCCCATCATTTTGATCTATGATGTTCTGGTCATAAAAAAAGCAGTAATATCGGATTGTTAACCTAAACTTCATTTTTTATAGCATCCTGTAACCTTCTGGCCTTCACTTGCCATCGGTTTCTTATGACAGTGGCCGACACTTTCTGCTTTTCCTGTGGAATCTTTACTGAGTGTGAAGAAACTGCCTGATAACACCTTCAAAAAGCTGCTGACAGGAATCTGCTTGTTGAGGAGAGAGTTTTTTTTTCTTGTCTTTTTTTAACAGCATGGGTCTGGTTTTTAATTAGTTTACATTACACAGCTTTCACTACACCAATAACTAGAATAATGAGCAGTCTTAGTATGTGTATAAAAAATGAAATTGTTATACTTATATAAACAATGTCCCAAAATGCTTTATTGGGACAAAAATACAATTTATGAACAACTGCCAATAGTAAAGTATTGAAATATTTAATCAGTCCTCACTGTATGCACAATTAGACAAAACAAAGCACATAAACAATAAAACGTATTTAGTACAAAAAATAAAAAGTTATTCAAGCAAAAAACATTGTAATTGTAACGTGTGGTCTAGTCATATTAGTGTTCAGGCATGAGCAGAAATATGTTTCTGATGGTAAGATAACCTTGGATATAAATATTAGGATTTTACGGTATTGTGATTACTGCTCTAAAATATGTTCTTTTTAAATATCTGGGTGAAAAACAACAACTTTTTCCTCATTGAACATGATATATATTTTTTTAATAAACATATAAAATATTTTGGACCAATAAACATGTCAGGCTAAATAATTTAAATGAATCATTGACTTCTGCTCACATCATTACTTTCAAAAACACAGATTTCTGGTCTCTTGTACGTTTTCAAAAACATAAAAGCCTTAGAAATACCTTAGGGACTGTGTAACAAAAAAATGTAATGTTTTTCAAATCTTAACTTTTCCAAACTGCGGTAAACCTTGAAACCGGTTATTGTCCCATGCCTATTAGTTCCATCAAGTTATTATTTTTCATAAAAAACAAAACACTGAAGATTTTTTTCAACTAAATTATCGAATTCAACAGAGCTACACTGCATGATAAAGATACAATCAAGCCTACAAATCAATACAGTAACCAAAGTGGTCTGATTAAAGAACATGAACTTATCATTATAACACATAATGAAAAAAAAAAAAAAAAAAACACATCTGCACTGAATGTTTTCAAACATGTCTTTGTCAGTTGTACATGTGGTACCTCAGTTGTCAATCAGCAAATACATATATATATATATATATATATATATATATCTGCTTCTTCCAAGCTGGATCTTGCTGCTTTTCTTACAAATTACAGGAAGCTCATTGGTCAATGAGCTGATTTTGCAGGAGCCAATCCCGATAAGGCTAACAGCAAGCTCCTGACATATGACATACCTTTCTGTACTTAATGATCATGGAGCTCCTTAAAAATGTTGCAATCCGCCACAGCGGCTCAGAGGGTTTGAAGGGGAGAGTAAAGGGTTCAGGACACCCCTTCAGAGCCCACAACAAACATCTTCAAACCATTCTGTTGGAACAGGTAAGTGCATTTCATCAGTTACCTTCTCTCATTGAGTGTCTATATATATGGAGAACTACACCTAATATATTGTAGCTGCTATTTTGTGTAAAAATCTCATATGGATTTTTATATTAGTTGTTTTATTCACAATGTGTTTGTCACTGCAAACATTTCAAATGATTTATCGTTTTCATTGTCTAATCGTTATTTAAATATAAAATTGAAATATTTGGGATTTAATAAGAAGGGAAGTATATCTGTGAGGAAAAGACAAAGATTCTGAGAATTTTTTTGACAACTAAAAGCAAAAATCTTTACATATCAATATCGTGCACTACAGTATATCCACTAAACAGAAACAAGTGTAACAAAATATGGGGGCACTTATTGATTTAACCCTAATTTGGGTAACTTTGACAAACCCAGTGACTGGGTATTCTTTCAACATTAACTCAACAGTTAGGTTTGTCCATATTTACCCAAACTTAGTTAAAACAACCAAGCATTTTGCATGCATTAAACCATGGGAAGATTATCTTAGTTAAAGACTCACAAATGACTAAACTATACATTACTGTCAATGTCTGAAACATTATTTCAAGTTTCAATTTATTGGTTATTTTTGCACAAATTTTACATTAAAAATTAAAAACAGTTACAATTTTATCACTTCAGACTCCAAAACCCAACTAACCAACCGCTATTTTGTTTATTTGTTTAAAAATGTCTATATATCACTCTCTCAAATGGCAATTTTTATTTATAGGACTCAGCTAATCGAGAAAAATGGCCAGACTCATTAAGATCTTTGCAACAGCTCTTGTGATCGTCTTCATGTCAGGTAAGAATCTATTTTTATTAAAACAAAATATATGGTAATCCTGACTATTTAAATCCCCATTGACATCTGATGATATATAGTCAAATGAAAGTAAATTACAGTAGCATTACACACCATGAACCTTTGATGGAAAAATAGGACTTTCTACACTTATTAGACAACTGCACTTTTTCCATAAGCCATAAACATCTAAAGGCACCTACTGGAGGTGCACATATATGCCACAAATAATATTGCACGTACAGAACGTTTTACAACCTTCATTTTATTTTACAGCACTGGTAATTATAGCAGGAGCCTGTAGGCTTGTTCCCCAATCTCTTTGTAGTTTAACAGGTACACTTGCAGGGGGTCCCGGAAGTTAAAACCCCATTTTACAGCACTTAGAGCTCTCAGACAGAGCGGTAATCACTAGAATAAGACACAGCCTCTGCTGACAGGAAAAAAAGTGCCCGCTGTGCACTCATAGGTCCATATTAGTCAGTTGGCATTTTCCTTCATTTAAGAACTGTGACATTTGGTTTGTAACAATTCTCTCTCTCTCTTTTTTTTGCCTGATAAAGACTTCTTGAGTGCTGGTCCTGTAAAGCGTAATGAAGAAGTGGATGGTAAGGTTTGTGTGTATATGTGTGTGTGTGTGTTTAATTATATCATCAGCTGCTGTGTAAATGGCACTACCAACAAAGCTATGCTGTGCTTCTCCAATGCCATTAAACATGAATCATTATATTGCACACTGTAAAATGGCAGTGCTTCATTTTCTCATATACAGATTCTTTACATCATGGCTCCAAAATCAACACCCATCTTCTTAATGTCATTTTAGGTTCTATATTTAGAAATTAACACAACATATTTTTGGACTGTATTCCAATCCCAAGATCGAATAACCATGATGCATGATCCACTCTTTCCCACTTAGACAACTTATCATATACAGTGCCAGTCAAAAGTCTATTAAAATGACATTTTATACCAGTGCATATAGTTACAATTATCATGTACTTGTCTTGTTATAAAAGGTGCATCTGAGGTGGAAACAGACAGCAAGTCACATATCCGCAAAAGGAGGAATATTGCCTTCTACAGAAGTCAACCTGATTTCTGGGGCTGGTATAAATTCTTCATGGAGACCAACAACCAGGAGGGAGTGAGTAGTATATATTATTAGTCAGTGTCACAGTCTTTCTGAGACTTTATGCAATGTTGTTCTTTAAATAGCCCCTTTTATGCTTTAATATTACATTCATTCAGTGTTGAATGGAGTGTTGTGTAAAGTGTACGATAAATAAAGTTACTGTCACTTAAAAATTGATTGTGATTCACTGAAATGATAAGGATATTTCAGTACATTGTAACACATTTGCATTATGCCAATCTATTCTTATCCAACCTACTTATCAGTCTAAAGATCCTGCTCATATTATGCTTGCAAGTTTGGGGTTGATCAACTAGCTTGAAATGTTTTATCGTCAAAGCAATTGTTACTGCATTAGTGTTTTCAATCACTGAGGGAGGAAGGCACATGAGCAAATATGGTAATGGTGTTTCATTTCCAACACGTGCTAAAACTGGTAGACCCTCACAGGGCCATCTGACCAATCAGAAAAATTCAGGCTTTCTGAAAAAGGGGTTTATAAAGAACAAACTGTTTGAGGGTAAAAGAAATTAGGCGTTTTTTAACTGAAAGTGTTATTTTGACCTTGGATAAATGTAAACCTATTGTGTAAAACCTCAAAAACAAAACAAGGAACCTGTAAATTAGCATAATGGGGGTGTTTTAAAGGCGTCTTTTTGAGAGATATTTCAAGAAACTGCAACAAGAGTAACTCAATTACCCAATTTTTATGTTTCTCTGATGACATCCACAGATTGAGGACTTGGATCGAATGTACCGTGTTTACCTGCAGAACAAGCACAGAGTAGAAGAGGGTGCCAATTTCAACCATTACCTCACTCACTTGAGTCAAATTTACAAAACCTGTGCCAACTCTGATGACCCTGATTGCATTGCAGAGTCCACCAGCAAACCCAAAGCTAATATTGTCATGCCTTTACCTGTGAGGCAAGCTACTGTGGCAGTGTGCAACCCTTACCTTGACCCTTACTGCCTCTACGCCATCAGACCAAAAGCTGCAGAAGAGCCTTCACCTGCCCCAGCAAAGGTTCCTGCCCCAATTCTGTCACCTCTGCTCCCGCTGCCCCTGAAAGCACCTCTAGCCCATTATTACTATGCTCCAGTCATGGAGCCATTTTTGTCAGCTGAGCAGAGAGCAGAGCTGTTGCGCATCTGCAACCCTTCAGACACAGAGTGTCTGCAATATCACTTGCGAGCTGCTTACGGCTACAGACCCGCACTCGGCCCTCTGCCTTCTTACTCTCACCTTGGATGTGATCCTACCAAAGATCCTTACTGTCAGCCCAAGCTTGTGGCAAGATCTCCCTCAGGTTTGTATCACCTGTACCCTTCCTGTAATCCCGCCACTGACCCTCTTTGTGTTGCCAATGTTGTTGCACCTGCAGCTCAAACCGCTGAGAGTGCAGAAGCCCCAAAAGACAAGCTCTGCAACCCTTTGTTTGACGAAGGCTGTAACCCCCTTACAGCTGCTAAGCTAGCGGCTCTCAATAAACCTGTCCTGGAATATGCTCCAAGAGATGAGCCTGCACCTCTAAACCTGGCCTGTGACCCGCGTTACGACCCCTATTGTCTGATAGGTGGATCCGCTGCTCTCAGGAAGCCCCCTCCAGTTCTCCCAGAGTTCCAGACCCGTCACAATCTGGGTGTCCGTGGAAAGACCAAGGAAGGTTATGACTGCTATATGTTTTACGATAAGGACTGCACCCCAGTGGAGAACCAGGATCTGAGGTCCAGTGCTGCCAGTTCCAAGCCAGACTGCCACCCATTTGACCCCAACTGTGGGAGGTTTGCCGCTCAGCCATCCACTGGAGCAGAGCCAGCTAAAACAGTCAAGAATGGCATCATTGAGCCCCATCCCGACTGTGACCCAGAAATTGATTACAACTGTCGCCTGCGCCGGTCAGAATCTGCAGGTGATGAACCAGCCCAGCCAGAACAAGGTCACGGCAAACCTGAACATGTGGCTCCAGAGTATCCTGTTCCAAGATTTGAGGACTTCCTCAGAGCATACATGGGTGGCTACAAGAAATGAAAGGAAAAAAAAAACTGGATGAAAACTTGAAAATTCAATCATGTTTGCACACATTTAGCTTTGTGCAGGAGAAGCGATTCAGGATCATCCAGGAATCATTGACATTTTAGTAACTCTAGGGAATGATGTCTTATTCTGTCTGAAATGTCATGTTGGGAAACAAATTAATACAATTTGGGGTTTTCTTGATGGTAATGTGAAGCATTATATGATAGGTCTATATGTATTTATGTATTATATAGTGTAGGTTAGGGTACTTCAATATGACGATTACCAATATTCAAATCTGTGTTACTTTCCTTTAGTTATGTGGTCACTTTTAATATACATATTTAATGTAGCTTCCACTTTTATGCATAATTCTTTTTCAATAAAAAATGAATTTAAATTTGCGTTTTTTGATTCTTCTTGTGGTATTATTTACATTTAAAACAAAACTTGAGAATTAGTAGAGCATATGGATATGTTAGTGTAACAAAAAATTGATAATGTAGTAATTGCAAAGCAGAAATCTGTGTTCTCAAATAAATGTTTTCAATATGTGCAACCTCTGTGTGATTTATATACAACTGATTAGAGATGGTGTAGTATATTGTATCATTGTTGTATAATTATATTTATTGTGACAAAAATGAAAAGAAATTGAATTATCCTATCTAAATTAAGCACTTCCAAATACCATATCTGAAGATAACGTGTTTTGCATCTCAGGTCTTTATAAGGGAGGAAGAAAATGGACAAAAGCTTTCAAACTTCATAAAAAAAATAAAGCCCTGTATAGTATACAAGAAATGCCGTATATTCTATACAGTCCTGATGCATATAGTGGGTACGATTTTTGTAAATATTTTTTTTTATATAATTTACAATTTTTCTCAATTGCTTTGGCTCAATTCTTGATTGAAATTGAAATTGAAATTTTTCAAAACGATAAGATTAGATCTCTGAACAATTGTTCACTTCAGAGTGGCATTTCTTGATATAAGCAAATTGCAAATGCTTTGGCACATGTGTGCAAACAGTACAATTGCCAGTAGTTTGGACAAAAACTAATTGTGCATGGCTTGTTGATCAAAACTGATGAGTCGATTCTCAGCTGTCAAATTTTTCACTATTCAACTGAGCCGAGGCTCGAACCAGCGACCCAGCGCCCTACTTGCTGTGAGGCAACAGCACTACCTACTGCGCCACTGTTTGCCCCATTATTAGCCCCTTAAGCTGCTTTTTTTTTTAATAGTCTACAGAACAAACTATCGTTATACAATAACTTGCCTAATTACCCTAAACAGTTAACTTAATTACCTTTAAATGTCACTTTAAGCTGCAAAAGTGTCTTGAAAATTATCTAGTCAAATATTATTTACTGTCATCATGGCAAAGATAAAACAAATCAGTATTAGAAATGAGTTTTTAAAACTATTATGTTTAGAAATGTGTTGAGAAAATCTCCTCTCCGTTAAACAGAAATTAAAAGAAAAAAAAACAGGCAGGCTAATAATTTTGACTTAAAAAGACAGACAGACAGACAGACAGACTGACTGACTGACTGACTGACGGACTGATTGATTAATTGATTGATTGGTTGATTGATTGATTACCCACTGCACAATCAATACATTCACAAACCTGACCTGCAGTAACACGCTTAAGGAAAAGCAATTAAATGACATGTAATCTCTGTCCAACAAAAGCGACAGGATGTCTACCAAGAATAATCTTTTTGGTCCCACTTTATATTAATTGTCCTTAACTACTATGTACTTACATCACAAAATAAATACCATGTACTTACTGTGTTTATAATGTATTTGAGAACACTTGTGGTGCTTTTGAGTTGGGATAGAGGTTGGGTTATGGACAGGTTTGGTAGCATGGGTAGGTTTAAGGGTGGGTTAAGGTGTAAGGTATAGTAAACAGTGTATTTACAAATGTAATTACAAAAGTTAATTACAGATGTAATTACATACATGTATTTAATCAAGCATAAGTACACAGTAAATACATGTATATACAATAAGTACATTGTAACAAACTATTAATTCCTGTTTAAGTACATATTAGTTAAGGCCACTTAATATAAAGTGGGACCATTTTTTTTAATGGATCATATTTTGTAGTATTTTGGTGTATTTTTGGTAACAAAAGAAATATGAAATGTACAGTACAGTAACTGGACAAGCAAGATTGCATGTAATACATTTGTACACAAATAGATATACTGTATAAATACAAATGTTCTTTTTTTTCTACGTACTATTCAGTCTCCTTTTCAAATATCAGATTTTTTTCAACCTTAGTTTTACATGGTTGTCTGTCTTGTGAAAAAACAACAAATTTTTTTGAGTAGTGTGGCTCACACGATGACAAATACACTTTATGTTTTGGTGGCCTTGGCTGAATTACTGACACGATGTTTGAAGCATGAATGAAATGTTTTGGGTGAATAACTACATTTTGCAGACATGCAATAAAGTTCTGGAGTTCCAGCAAACTCTTTTGAGATTTGCACTCACAGTTTAGAGAATTTTAAGTCGTTTTTTTTTTTTTTTTTTTAAACTGTCATTTTAGTTTATTATCATGCAGCAAAAAAAAAAAAAAAAAACTCATTATACCTTAGCACCCAATGTATCTACAGGATTCACATTCACAACAACATTTAGCCAAAAGACCCCTCAGGCAGATAAGTAGTGACTACACTTTATGACTGTTAAAAAAAAAAAGCTTGGCATGCCAGCACAGTAACACTAATGACTATTCACACAGGACATGTTGAAATGTGCATGTAGTGTAAGTGCACTCTAAATATGCCACTCTAACTAAAATGCGAAGTGATAAAGCACACAAGATATACCTAATACTTGGATTACCTAGCCCACTCTCCCAGGAACACGCAACAGACTTTATCGACACAATTCATTCCAACAAGCAACTTGCGTAAGTATAGTAGAAATCAGCAGGGATATGTTACTAGATGCACACTCAGCAGCTTTTCATGTTCATACCACGGGCACGTCTGGTGTGGTTCTTTCCTTACTGTCTAATTGGCCTTAGGTGGGCTTTGAGAGGGGATACAGCAAAGGCTATGAGACTTTGAACTGTTGCTTAATGCCTCAGTCAGCATGAGTCCAGTTTGTGCTGACTGCTCCTCTCCATGGCCTGCATACCTGTGGGACCAGCTGAATGTCATTAAAGTGGATGGGAAAGGGCCCTGAATGGTAATGAGGGTAAATATGTCCACTGCATAAGCAAACAGAAATTAGTGGTCTACTTCTGTGCGTTGGATTCGACAGTGCTGCAGAGTTTCTCATTTGGTTAATGTGGCAAGTGAGTAAGTTTGCTTCTGAAACAGCACGCTCTAGAAAGGGACTGTTATGATGAGGCTGAAGATCTGGCCTTGAATGAAGATTTTATTATTTTGATAAAGAAATGTGGCTTTTGAAATGTTTGAATGCATGTAAATGTGTTTTTTTTTTGTTGCTAATATTCACACACAGTCAGAAGCAATACAATACGCTTAAGAGTGCTGCAAGCTGAATAAATCTTTACAGAGATTTGAAATACATAGAAAGTATATTCAATGCAACCGTCTAACTTTTCAATTAACTTTAGTAAAAATAAAATGTCAAAATGTGAGGAGAAATGCCATACTAGCTTTCAGTCCAACAGTTATATTCATGCAAAAATGAAACACTTGTTCTGATTCTGGCTTAAACATATCAAAATATATTTAACTGAAAGCTGTTTAACACTTCTATTGTTTTAATAATAAACAAATGAATGTATATACATTTTTATACTTGACCATGCACATATATACACACGTAAATTTACTAACATATCAACAATAAAAAAAAAATTCCAAGGGATAACAGAGCAACAAGATCTCCTCAGCATTTCTTATTATATTTTTACATCGATAGAAAGTTTTGAATAAAAGTAGTTTTTAATGATTGAAATTTAATTAATTTATTTAAATAATTTAATGAATGAATTAATTATTACACACCTTAAGAAATATTTTTTTTTGGAACAAACCAATGTTGTCCAGTGACTTTCCATATTAACGTACCTTGCCTAGTTGCCCTAATTAACCTAGTTAAAGGTGCAATAGGTGATCTGCCTAAATGTTAACCGGTTGGCATGATATCTTTGAAACACAGCCCCTCCCCTGCTCTCCAAAGCCACACCTCCTGAAATCACGAACGCACACATTAAAGATGACAGAGACCCACTAGATCATGTCATTCGCCAGTTAAAAAACTTTATAGTACTTTATAACACTACAATTCTGAGTGAAAAACTGTATTATATCTATCTACCACGTTTTCAGTTTTGTAGCAAGCAACACTTGTCATATGTGTAATATTTCATGCATGCAAGGATCGCTGGTCTCACTCTCTTACACGCTTTGTCCTAAAGTGACTTCTTTATGCTTAGTGGTTGGCCGGCAGGGTGAAGGAATTACACTTATTACTGAGCCATACTTACATGCTATTTTAGACCAAATATTCAGAGTAGCATGGTAAACGATATAGGGAGCGTGTCACAGGTTGTCATTGCTCAAAAATGAACCAGTGTAGTAAATTACCAACTTTACCTCAGTACAGAAATAGCGTTCTTCACGTACGTTTTGTTACACCAAACAAAACTCTTGAAAATAGTCACATCAATCTTTCGCCAGAAGTACATATAACCAATTCATAATACAACAAAATCTACATCAGCTTTGCGTGACTAAATTGTTTTAAACCACAACATTACCTAAAAGAAATACAGTGTCTTGCAGAAAGTAACTATAATTTTTAAACTTTTGATTTAGCCTTTGTTTTTACCGCTGTCACTCTCTTGCGCAGATGAACGAGCGTGCATGCTCAAATGGTGGATATGCGTGAACAGGGGTGCACAAATGTACAAATCTACATTTGTTGACTGACAGTTTGGGCTACTTATCAGAATTATGAAAATTATCGGCCTGACAAATTTTAATTGGATGAAATTTTTTTTACCGTGTCTTTTGTCTTACAGTGCATCCGTAAAGTATTTATAGCGCTTCAATTTTTCCACATTTTTTTATGTTACAGCTTCATTCCAAAATGAAGAAAATAAAATTATTTCTTCAAAATTCTACACACAATACCCCATAATGACAATGTGAAAATCTTTTTTTTTAAATTGTCGCAAATTTATTAAAAATAAAAACCTGAAAAATCACATGCACATAAGTATTCACAGCCTTTGCTGTGAAGCTCTAAGTTGAGCTTGGTTGAGGTACATTCTGTTTCCACTGATCATTTTTGAGATGTTTCAGTAGCTTAATTGGAGTTCCCCTGTGGTCAATTAAGTTGATTGGACATGATTTGAAAAGGCATACATCTGTCTATATAAGGT